TACATAAGAACATGCCTGTACCAAGTCAGGAATATGACAGTTGTTATCCATTCGTTTGATGTGTTTCAGCTTTTGATTTTGCCATTTGATTAGGGACTTTCCTTTTTGAATTTTCCTCGAAGTTCAGTATTTTTGTGATTTTACTTTTTTTTGAAGCATTTCATTTTTCCTCCTCCAATAACAGTTATCAATATAGTTCTCGAACGTACATAATACATTTTCTAATCGAACAACAAAAAGTGCAATTGAATACACAAATACAAAAATGGACTTTTATGCCTTAGGTCAGAAGTTTTACAATGATTTTGGTAGACACATACTCTATTGATAAAATAGAAATAAATGTCCAATAAAATTGAGAATGGAAACTGTTTTCCGATATATGCTTTTCTACAAAAATACTTTCACACGGCCAACCGACCAATCTCATATGTAGCAACAGGCAAACCCAAATTAACGGACTGCGGAATCGATAAACGAAAAGGCTTGACAAGGTGTGACAGCAAAGTTAAAATAATGGAACATTACATATGGTTTCAACGTTACAAAAGTAATTAACGCGAAAGGATCAACGATTTCCACACTTTAACCCTATTCAAGAAAATCATTCGAATGAATGCTTTGCTATTAACAAAAACTCGGTTTAACTTGTTATTGATCTCTGAACGTGTTTGATATTTTCCTTCACCGTAAATTAAAAAATGGAGAATATTTTTGAGAAAATCGAAGAAAAATATACTTTAGAAAAGAAAGAAATTGAGTTAAACTGTAGTGAGCATCCAAGAGAAATAGTGATAGCATTTTGTGATACCTGTCAGAAGGCAGTTTGTTTTGATTGCTCTAGAGAATCACACAGAGACCACAAATGTTTCAAAATAGAAAATAAAGCCGTTGATGCGAGACAAAACATTCCTAAATTATGCACTCAGATTGAAAATAAAAAGTTGCCCACTTTGGTGACAACGTTGGATAAGATTAAAAGCTGTAAATCACAAGTATCAAAAACGGATGACGTTATACAGAAAATACATAAAAGAGCAAATGAGCTCATGGCAATTATCATGGAAGAGCGCGATTCGCTTATAGATCAGTGTAAGCAGTCCTCTATTTCACAAGAAAAATACTTTCAGATTGAAGACAGTATTGTTCGTAGATACATAGATTTGTATAACATAAGTCTACAGGAAGCCTCCGAAGTCGTCAAGAGTACTAATAATATTGAACTAGTTCTTTTCGAGAGTAAGCTGAAATGTCAGATAAGAGATTTTAAACCGAGAGCTGTACGACCTTCGTCTACACCTAAATTTAAATTAGGGAAATCCGATAGAGAAGTAATAAAAAACATGATTGGTCTAGTGACCTGTGATGACAATTTTGCCGACATGACATCCTTAGCAGGTGGATTAGTCGGAATACAAGTTAAGCTGGTATCCTCAGTAAGGTACAGTTGTTTAAATGTTGCTTCGTTTTGTTTCCAAGACAATGAACTGGCATGGATCAATCCAGCAGAGTCAACGATTGGTGGAGTCATAGATAGCAAAGGAACGGAACATAAGAGATTTGATTTCGGAGCTGAAGTGTCTGATTTTACTATTACCGATAAAAATGTTATATTAGGAACGGACACAAAAAATAAGCGTATAGTAAGAGTTACAAATAATGGGATACTGAAAGAAGTTCTCAACACTGCCCCATTACAACCACATGGAATTCACGCTTGTAGGAATGGAGACTTACTGGTTACACAGATGTATAAAGCTGATCCCAAATCTGTTGATAGTAAGCGTCTGGTACATCGTCTAGGCAAAGACTATATCGTTAAACTTACAATACAATTTACGGCCTCATTTTTCAATAAGAAACACATCCTTAACCATCCGAGACGAGTGACAGAGAACAGTAATGGAGATATAATAGTTGTCGATTTATCTACAGAGACGTCGGGAAAGATACTCGCATTTGATTTTGTAGGAAAATTGCGTTTTACATATGAAGGTAACCCAAGGAGATCAAAGTTTTTACCCTTTGATGTTTGTTGTGATTCTGATTTACGAATTTTTGTTTCGGATTTTTACAATCATGAAATTAACGTTCTAGGTTGTGACGGTCAGTTTATTCAGGAAATTCCAACAAATATGGAAGGATTACTTAATCCTATTGCTATTGCCTATGACAAGAAAGACAAACTTTGGATCGGAGGGAAAGGTGGGAAAATCTTGATATACGTGACACATAAGACAATTTAATTTGAAATGCCAGATTTCCATTCTGATGATGACGTTAGAAAACTTAGTCAAATTTATAGTGACATGAAAGATTGTTAAGAAATTGATTACCAATACTTTTATGTTTTGTGTTTTAAATCTTTATTTTTTTCAAGTTGCATTTCAGCTCGACTTATATTTAAATGCTGGCTTAATAATCTAACTTTTTATTTGTGTTTATCAAATGTTTATATAAAGCCAACTTGGAGCAAATCGGCTATTGGTACTTTACGGAACGAAACGAAACGGAACGGAACGGAATTTCATTTAAGGTATCCATAGGGGGTGTCTATAAAAATTTCGAAAAATCTTTGAAACAATACAAACTTTAAATTTCTCTGTTTACGGTTTTTAATATACAGATAACACAATGTAAAATGTGTGATAATGTATAACATCGGGAAATATCCTGTAGATGTACATTCATGTCCTGATAAATATTCATGAATTTCACGCATTGGCAGGTCAGAGAAAAAAGTCTTCTACCTTCCATTCATTATGATATCTAAGAAGACAAGATCTCCCGTCGTCCTTTCCGACGATGATTAGAAACATTGATTCTGAATTTAACTTTTTAAATTTGTTATTCCGTTCCGTTCCGCAAAGTACCAATTGCTCTGAAGAATTGGTATTTAACGGAATCGAACGGAAACAGATTTCTATAATATAATATAGCAGTATGATAAAATAAACATTGTCCTACACCTCTTTTTTTTAAATGAGTGGTAAGTGTTTTAGATATGCATTCAATAACCGAATCAGATTCAACTTCATCAGTGTTTCTAATCATCGTTGGAACGGGCGATGGAAAGCCCTCTTTTAAAATATAATTACTAATGGAAGGAGAAAGAATTTTTATCTAACCTTCATTTGTGTTAAATTCATAATTATTGATCACGTCGAGAATGCTATCTTTTAAACACTTACCACTCATGTCAAAATAGATGTATCAGACAATTTGTTTTTATCATACTGCTCTGATTATATTAGATGTTCGTTTTCGTTCGATTCCGTTAAATACCAATTCCTCATAACAATTAGTACTTTGCGGAACGGAACGGAATGACAAAATTAAAAAATTAAATTCAGAATCAATGTTTTTAATCATCGTCGGAAAAGACGACGGGAGATCTTGTCTTTATAAATATAATTACGAATGAGTAATTAAAAAATATTACTCCTTTCATTCGTAACTATATCTAAGAAGACAAGACCCCCAGTCGTCCTTTCCGAAGATGATTAGGAACATTGATTCTGATTTTTGGTTATTTTTGGTTATTGAATGCATTTCTAGAACACTTACCACTCATTTAAAAAAAGATAGTTGCAAGATAATTTTTGTTTTATCATACTGTTAAAAATGGCGTTAAAACACCAACAATCAATCAATCATGTATTCAGTACCAACAGATTATAATACACAACATGTACAAACTAATAGAAGAATTTTCGAGCAAATCATTTCAAATTTGATATAACATACTGCTTTTATTGTACTATGATAGATGTTCCATTCGATTCCGTTAAATATCAATTCCTCTTAGCAAATGGTACTTTGCGGAACGGAACGGAACGGATAATAAATTTAAGATGTTTATATCAGAATCAATGTTTCTAATCATCGTCGGAAAAGACGACCTGAGGTCTGTCTTCTAAAATATCATAATCGGAATGAAAGGAGTAAGACTTTTTCTCTGACCTGCCAATGCGTCAAATTCATGATAATTTACAGGACATGAATGTACATCTACAGGATATTTCCTGGTGTTAATACATAATTACACATCTTACATATGAAGATGAGATTTAGTATTCAATTGTGTTATCTGTATATTGAAAACCGTAAAGTTAATTTTGTTTTAAAGATTTTTCTAAATTTTTATAGATGCCCCTATGGATACCTTAAATGAAATTCCGTTCCGTTTTCGTTCCGTTCCGTAAAGTACCAATAGCTGAGCAAATACTCAAATTACATTTGTGAATGGTACCTCAACGTGATACTATACGCAGACCAGTTACTTTTGCATTCGTGACACCAAAAATTTTTTCCCTCACCATTTGCATTACTTTAGATGTAAGTATCGTGTCCACTGCTATTTATATCATTCTACCCTTTTCATGGTATTTGTATCCAAAAATACAAGTCATCTTATCGCCAAAGACTCTTTTAAGTGTTATTTGCTAACTTTGTATATAACTTAACATTCTCAACCTCTCAATGCCTCTCACGTTCTGAATAAAAGAAGTTGGGTGTGCAACGACAATGAATCACAGCTACACAACAATATAAGCAAACGACGAAGCACTTCATCTGCAACAGACTTATGAATAGATTTATGTAACGGATTCGTCCTCATTGTTTGGCAGTTTGTGTCTCCTCCCTCTTTTCACCGTTTCATCAACAGTTCGACCTCCGTGAAACAGCATTGGATACTTATTGAAATTTTCAAATATGTTTCTTTTTATTAATACAAGTTATCAGACTTAGGTATTTGGTACTTCAACACAATTTTTATAGACAGTAACTTGAGCAAAGATAAAAATAATGTTAGGTCCCATCTGAAACTCAGTCGCTTTTGCATTAATTTTTGTGTAGTGTAAATACGGAATTTCCTTATTCTTAACCTACCTTTATATATTTGTTGATGATTGTATTATGTTCTTTTAATCTATATATATAATTATATTCAGTGGATTAGTTAACCTGGTCAAGTTTCTAGAGACTCAGAGTCTCTCTTTTTCTGTGTAATGTCCGCCATGTTTACCTGCGTCGCTTACCATAAACCAGTCTAAGTGCACTATCGTGAACGGCGGTATTACGTAGAAATAGAATCTTTTGAGTCGCTTTTGACGTCATTATGAAGTCTTTCGAGTCTCTTTCATTGTATATAAAATGAATTCTTATTGAAAGCGTTAGTTGTGATCGGTCTACATGCCACAAGGTTGCTTATAATCAAAAGCCTAAATATTAAAATCCTTTCGTAACTGTAGCTAACAGTTTGAGCTTACACTTTAAAGGTTAGGACATATTTTCTCAGAGTTTTATTTATATAAAGCATAGTTTTATAAGTATTTATATTTAAAAGAGACTCTAAAGATTAGACGTACAAATCATATACTGAAAAGTACACCAAAAGTCGGAAAGATAAAATATTTCCTATTTCTTACAGAGACTCAACGACGCAGACTCGAGTCTTAAAGTAGATCATAAGTATATACTTTTTGAGATAGAATTTTCTTATACTTTGCCAAAAGGAAGATTTTACTATGCTTTTTTCAAAAATATAATAAAAAGTATGGGTCACCGAGCTATTTTCCAAGCTATGAGTCGTTGAAAATTGCCTAAATTTGGTTATATTGTTCATGAAAAAAAACATTTGTGTGCATAAAAAAAAATTTATGAGATAGAATTTTGAAATAAATTGTAAGAAGATAGGTTTTATAATATGTTTTAAAAAAATAAAAAGAAAAAATGGTGTCACTGAACTTGTTTTCTTGCTACAAGTAAAAATAAAAAATTTCCCTATCAGTCCAGTATATATTTTTTACTAAAAGAGTTATCTCCCCTTAAATGGCTTATTTGAAAAAAAATGATTCTAAACACACAAAATTTGATATTTGTTTAAATATTTTGAATAATGGAATAAATCACCAAGTTTTCTTTATATAAATCAACAATCTCACCACTAAATTGCAAATCTGTCTCCAAATTTGCAGATTTGGGCAAATAACTAGACCAATTTTGTACTGAGGTTGTACAATCCAAGATGGCGGTATACCATGAATCTACCTTAAAGTCGCTAATCAAATAAGTATCAACATAGCTTTTCTTCAAAGAAAGTTAAGGTCAAAGTGATTCTTATATAATTCACTTAAAATACCAAAAGTATAGTAATTATTATTGTTATTTTCCAACGATTCTTTACATATTACAAATTTGAATCTCCACAAAAGTACAGTAAAATCAGGCGTCGTAACTTGTACATTTGAAAAGTCGACATAGTTTATATAATTATAGAGATTTCTATAATTCCTTGTGATTAAGATAGTTTTTTTTATTAAATTCATGTGTATATAGTACTTGACCAGAGTTACTCACTAGCTTGCATACAATTAAAATGTTATTCATTGTATGTTGATCTCATGTAAAAAGATAGTTTGACTTAATTGAAATTGTCTGGATTACATATATCTATAATACTTCATTAAATCATTAACTTTACACGAATTGATTATTTTTGTCTACTGAAACAAATCATCTTTAATTATATCACTTGGATTACGGGGTTGAGTTGCCCCAAGGGAGCAGTCATTGATACATATTGAAATAAGAATCAACAGTATAATTAAAAATTTCCAAAAATGAGATGCAACCGCCTGAAAATAACACTAGGAGCCTGTACCGTTCACCTATCAATTTCTCATAAATTGATACAATAAAATGACAATATTTCAAAGAGTTTCCAGAAAAAAAACCGCAAAAAATTGAATAGCATCCTAAAGACTTCAGCGACAATAAATCCTTTCATGACAGGAGTCAACTGAGGATTTCGGCCATTTAATTTATTTGTAGATTATGTCCTGATGATCAATTTTGGCTCTTTCAGAATCCCTCTATCTATTATAGTTTTAAAGATAATAACCTAAATCGAAAATAAATTTAGTGAAAATCGTCATTTAAGGGCAAGAACTCCTATAGAAAGTCGTATGACAGTTTTGGTCTGAATAAATGGTAGATAGATCTTGACATTCGGAACATTTTTGCTCTACTATATTTCTGTATCTATAAAGATTTACGAGACAATACATAATACTTGAATTTTACATCTCCGTTCTATTTTTAGCCTTGGGACCCATGATTCTTGGTAGGCGGGATAATTGAACACATTTTGTAAACTAGATACTAAGGATGATCGTGGCCAAGTTGGTTCTATTTGGTCCAGTTGTTTCAGAGGAGAAGATTTTTCTAAAAGTTAATGGATGACAACAGACGACGGACGCTTAATGATAGGAAATTTAATGGCCATGTGAGCTAAAATTGTAAAAACAAAAGAACCATTCAGTATTGTATGGCAATGCATTGAAGACAAATTTTATGTATATAGTAGGAGTTATACAGGCCTAGTTGTATCATTTAACTCAATGTCATAAACAATTATATAACTACATTATTCCGTTTACTAAATAGGACATTAATTAAAATTGAACGTCCATCCCCAGCAATTCCTCCTGGACATGGCTGTGTTTCATCAGCAATAAGGACAGCCGTTTGTGAACAAGGTCCATCAGGTACCACCTTACAATTATCAGGTTTTCTATTGATACGTGTGCCGATACTGAAACAGAGATGAAACTTTATAATGTGAATAAACCCATCATAGCTACCAGGTTTAAATTTTGTACGCCAGACGCGCGATTTGTTTACAAAAGACTCATTAGTGACGATCGAATCAAAAAAAAAAAAAAGAAAAAAAAAAAAAAAAGAAAAGCAAAATAAAGTACAAAGTGAAAGACCATTGAGGACCCAGTGAAAGGATAATGATTTGATTTTATCCGTTATTGAACATTGTTGTCTATAACTGCTTACAACTAATTCTTTTGAAATCAGGTGGATAGTTGCCTCATTGGTAATCATTCCACACATATAAATGTATACTTAAATAGTTTAAGTCTATCATTTAAGTTTTGATTCTTTTTGAAAAATACCGCAAAATGGAATACTTGCGAACCAATTGACAGTACCAAATTTCGAGAAAAAAAGTACACCAGAACAAAGTGCATAAAAAGTAAATTAATGATATACAGTAGTCGAAATGAAACCGATATGACAAACAGAAAAACAACTTACGAGCAGCAACTCAGGAATCCTTTCGTACAGCTGCAGTCAAGACATTCTTCGGTAGATTTATAATTTGTTCCATTCTTTATTATTCTTCCTTGGTAGACACAATCTAAAGAAAACGAAAGATTGACTGTTAAAATTACTGTAACAATCATTTTAAGTAAACTATTCCCCTTATCTGATTGATAATATCTCATTTCTTTTTGAAAGTATTTGTTAAGATACCAGACTTATAACTTTGTACACCAGACGCACGGTTCGTCTACATAAGATTCGTCAAATTATACTGAAATCAAACCAGTTGGAAGGCCTAACTAGCTCAATAACAAAGTTGAAGTTTCTTGAAAAAACATAAATGTTTCAGAAAGTTGTGCCAAATCTTTGCCTGGTTGTAAAAATGTTAGTTTCGAAATTTTAATATTTTATGAACCGTAAATTAACATGAAATAATACATCAATGATATGGCATGTCAGAACAATACCGCTTTCTATAAAGTTAATGCAAACAAATCTACCAAATGACATGTATAAACCATATTCAACAATTAAAACACCCTAATACTATCAGAAAAAAAAATTTAATATTTTAATATTAGTTTTTTCTAATTAAATTAATTCCTTTCACTGTTTTCAAGCTGCACATATAAAACTATAAATCGTTTAATCACTATGATTACACAGAAGCAATACATTTAATTCATTGAATTTTTCAGTGATCAGATTACTCGAAAACTTAGAAATTGGTTGATTTTGTATTATTGAAAGATGCTTACAACTACCTCTAAACACTATGAAAATTATAAATGTGCATTTTTATTCCATATTTATTTATAAATACAAAGAAAAGATAAACATTTAAATAAAAGAAATTAGCGTATTAAAGATTTTAATGTACTTACCTTAATCTGCGCGTCTAGTGTACAAAATTTTACGCCTAGTATCTAAGATGAGTTTATTTACTTTTTCCATAGTTCTCGACCAGTTATCCGTAAACATGATACGACTGCAATTAATGTCTTAGCGTATCCTTTGGTTGTTTATCAAAAGAAGAACAACAATCGATCTATTTTTTTGAAAACTATAGTAATAATCAGTTATTCAAAAATATTAGTCATTTGACCAAAATGAACTCTTGGTGCTCAAATCATAGTGTATATTTATATGACGTCACGGCCAATTCATATACACTACTAACAATTTTGAATTTGTTAAAATATTTTTACTATATAATAATTACATGAGGAAAAGTTTGAAATATTATACTGTACAGACAAAGATACATTGAAAACAATGTAATTCAAAAATCTGAATTTTAATAATTCATTCCGAATTATCAGAGTGTCATAGTGATCTGTAAATCAGTGTGATACTAAATTTTATTTGCATACAAGTTGCATTTGCATATGTCGCCAACACCACTGGGCTTAGAAGGAAATTATCTGCAAAATGTATGTGTTTGAGATACAATGAGTAATCGTTTGTTCTTTAAAAAAAGATACCATGAGCCCGGATGGCAAATGATATCTTTTTAACGTACTAACGCTTATTAATTGTGTCTCGCTCTTAAATTATTGTCGATTCGACGTTTTCTAATTGCAGTTCCTTTCTTAATTAGACCGTATTATTTGTAAGCTTAAACAACCACTTAATTCTTTAAACTACTAGATTCATACAGTCATGTTGATGATTTTAATAGTAAAAGAAAATTAATATAAAATCGTCTAAACTTATAGTATAAAGAATAATTTTCAGAAATATATCCATTATTGACAAACACAAGTATAATCGAACTAGTTTTCCAGTTAAACATAATGCTAATGGAAGAAAAATCCACTTCTCGAATTACACTTTATAATTAACTGTTAACACAACTTTGAATCATTCGAGAAAAAAAAACTAGGGATTTTCCAACGTCGAAATATATTACCTTAGCTGTATTTGGCAAACCCTTTAGGAAATTTTGGATCCTCAAATGGTCTTCAACTTCGTACTTGATTTAACCTTTTTAAAATCGTTGATTCGAGCGTCACTGACGAGTCTTTTGTAGACAAAACACGCGTCTGGTGTACAACAATTTATGCTTGGTATCTTTGATGAGTTATTATATATTTTATGAATATGTCAAAATATGCAGTCAAAAAACGAATGAAATTGGCTCAAATTTTATTTTGAGTTGCATGCAATGGTTGATAATAATCAAACAAAAACAAATAATTATCTTTGATATTGCTAAAATACCAACGATAACCCAAATGAAATTTATGAAAAACGGAAAGCTGAAACAGAGATTCGAACTATGTTTACAAGTGTAACTCTCAACGGTAACTCTTCATCTCATCCCAACCTTGATGTTACAAACTCACTCTATAAACATGTCGTTTTTAAGTATATTAAAGCACAAATGCTGTGTATATAGTGTACTGTGTCATACTGATATATGTGAAATTGACATTTGAATATCATCAGATTGGTAGCTGAGATGTGTCTTGAGTGAGTTAGAACCCCAGTCGCAGTCCATTTAAAATCCAAACTTTTCTGATTGGATTCCATTAATATATCCCCAGAACTAGAAATGAAGGAAACAACAGACACGGCTTCTTCTGCCTCATTTTTAGACTTATACCTCGAATTTGACATAAGTGGTCATCTCAGTACCAGAATATATGACAAACGACCTGATTTTAATTTTGAAATTATAAATTTCCCCTACCTTAACAGCAATATTCCAACTTCACCTGTATATGGAATATACATTTCTCAACGCATTCGGTATTCACGAGGTTGCAGCTGTTACTCCAACTTCATAAAAAGTCACCAGTGTTTGAGTAGAACGTTGACGAACCAGGGTTATGTCAAAGAACGTATTGTCCTTTTTCTAAAAAAAAAGTTCACCGGAAGATACGAAGACCTTGTTAATAAATATACCGTACCAACTTCACAAATAATACATGATGGTCTTGAAGTATAGATTCTAGGTACTGACGTTGTTCATCTAATTAATTACGTGTTGTAGTGTTCCATATTTGTCTTATTTTTGTTATTTTACTTTTAAAACTAATTCCAGATGTAAACCGATATCAGCAGTTTGCGAAATCAAACTTATTGAATTTAAGCATACACAGGGAACTATTAAATATATTCACGTCAAGTTATGACCTTAATTCTAACTACTAGTATTTCAAATCGCCAGAATATGGCCGTTTTCAAATTAAAAAAGGTCGTATTTGCATGTTAATGTTAACTATGATTACAGAACGCGAATTTTAGAATAAATCTGCAACGTAAGGTCTTTTTAATCTCTAAACGTAAATTTGTGATCTAAATAAGTTTATTAAAAAAAATGAGTTTAAAGGGACACTATTTAAATTAAAAAC